GCATCCATTCATGAAAGCCAGGTCCTGCTTGATCAACTCGATCTCCTATGATCATGTGACCTGCCTTGTGGAAGAAAGAATGTTGGCATAGTCTACCTAGACTTCAGCAAAACCTTTGATATTCTCCAACAGTATTCTCCTGGAGAACTTGGCAGCCCGTGACTTGGACAGGTACAAGCTTTGCTGAATAAAGAACTGCCTGGAGAGTGTGGTGTCAACTGCACCAATCAGCTCAGTGTCTTCAGCAAATTTGCTAAGGGTGCACTAGATCCCATTATCTTTGTAATTGATTAAGATACTGAAAACAGTTATCCATGGATTGACCCCTGGGGGATACCACTTGTGACTGGCCTCCATCTGGACATAGATCTGTTGACCACAACTCTGTTGTGACCACCCATTAGATTCTTTATCTGAATATTCTACTTTTCAAATCCATTTCTCTTAAATTTAGAGAAAAGGATGTAGTCCTGGACCATGCCAAAGGCCTTGGAGAAGTCCAGGTAGATGATATCAGTTGTCCTTGACAGTAGTGATGTCACTTCATCACAGAAGGCCACTTTGGTCTGGTTTGGTCAGGCACAATCTGTCTCTGATGAAGCCATGCTGGGTCTCTCAGATTACCTCCTCATCTTGCATGTGCCTTAACTAATATCTTCCAGGCGAATATGCCCTGTGAACATTCCAGACACAGGTGAGGCCCACTGACCTATACTTCCCTGAGTCTTCCTTTCTCCCTTTCTTAAAAATGGAAGTGATATTTCCCTTTTTCCTGTCACTGGGTAGTTCATCTTACAGCCATGATTTTTAAAGTATGTTGGAGAGTGGCTTGGCAAGCACGTCAGCCAGTTTCTTCAGGACCCTGGGATACATGTTGTGCAGACTCATAGACCTGTACACATTCACTTTAAAGTGGTCACTCATTCAATCTGAACTGTTTTGTAACGTAATAAATAAGGAGCATTAAAAAATCTGTTTAAAAAAAAAAAGGAAAGAGAGGAAGTTTATTATGTTCCTGTAGTCATCAAGATCAGAAGGGCATAAAATGAAATGAATTCCAGACTTAACAACTCTCATTGAAAGAATCCTGCGAATCACTGTGAGTGTTCAGCCTTGCACTTCCGCTGCTCATATGAGTCTGAGTGCCTGGTGTGATGGTAATTGCTATGGTGTTGTATTTAAACAATGGTTAACAACCTAACAGCCTCAGAGGTTAACTGTGTCTGCTATGTTATTGGCGATACTGGCACTTCCAAGAAAACATTTTCAAGACTGAATAAAATGAGAAGTGCAAATCTAAATTTTGATACATTTCTACCAAAAGATACTCATAATGTAACATAAATGTACTTTTACAGAATCACAGAATGGCCAGGGTTGGAAGGAACCTCAAGGATCATGAATCTCCAACCCCCCTGCCACATGCAGGGCCACCAATCTCCACGTTTAATGCTAAACCAGGCTGCCCAGGGCCCCATCCAACCTGGCCTTGAACACCTCCAGGGACGGGGCATCCACAATCAGAGTGAGCATTCTTTGAGAAATGTGAGACTTTTAGATGGAGTCTTGTATAGCAAACTAGACAGAAATTAGCTTTTGAAGAAAAAAGATGACCAGGGATACTGAGGAACAAGAAACTCTAGCTAAAAGCTGAGTGCAGCAGAAAGATTTGAAAAAGTATTAAATAAAATGAAAGATCTGAAGATATTTAGATTTCTATTTAGTCATCATATTGGTGAAAAGAGCATTCATGTTTTCATAGTTCAAATATTTAATCCTAAATTTGTGTCCTTAAATGATAAATGATTGTATCATGTGTCCATGCCAACCATGTCATGTCTCATAAGTTATTGTAAGAGTAAAAATGTACCAAGGCAGGCAAAAAATTTCTTGGAGAATAACTGTTTCATTGACTGATAACTGCTGTGAAAAAGGTAAATGTAAGTTACAAACTTACTGTCTTTCCCACCATCTTACTATATTTACTGTTTCTCTCAAATGTTTTATTGTATATGGTGTAGGAAAGATACATTCTTTCCCATTACTTGTTATTTATTCAAGTCTGCAGTCCTTAAGATACTGTATGCTTTGCTGAATTTTAAGATTTGAGAAAGATTTTGAAACATGTTCAGCAAAATCAATATATAACACATATTATAAAGGGATCTAAAAATATTTGGGACGCTGAATTCAATATTTGACCTTTATTTTAGAGAGAGAGGAAATGCCTTTGTTGTGAATGACTCAAAATAAACAGAGGTAATGCATGAGGAAAAAAAAAAAAAAAAAAAAAAAAAAAAATCTGTAAGCATGCCTCTAACAAAAACTCTATAATTTTGTTTGGATCAAAATCTGTTGCCTAGTCCAAACAAGCAGAAACAACAACATATAAACCATAAAGAGATAGTTCTAAGATAAAGAAATAAAAAAGAGATGGATAAGCCATTTGATGTATTTCATATAACTGTCCTTTATTGCTTATTATTGAGATATCAAATGGATGATTCTGGAATGCATAAGGAAGAGACTAGTGTTCCTATTTCTACATCTTTCTTTTTTGTTTTAGTCAAATACTCACTTCTCAGAATCAAGACACTGCCACTAGTGTATCTTAGTTTGCGTAGAAATCAGCAGAGGCAGATCACTCTGGCTGCAGTCTTTACTGAACAGCAGAGTAACAAGTGGTTACAGGTCAAATTTGGAATTATCAGTGCACTTTGAATTTTTCTTTTCTGGAAATAAAGCAGCTTGTTTGTTTTCTGATTACATCTGTCTGTGTTCTAATGGGTAGATATATGATTGAAGATTACTTCTGGCTTAGCCAGGCTAAACTTTGGTCCCCCTAATTAGCAGTAGGATTTGTAATCAAAGAAATTTTGAAGCATCAGCACTTTTTGCTATATAGAATAGCCTTCATGGTAGATTTCCCCAGTGTGTGTTCTGGGACTTCTGTCCTATTTCAACTAAAACAGCCAACAGTAGTACTTTTACATTTAATTTTTTTTTTTTCCTAAAAGTTTTTTTCTAAAAGATGAATATGAAACATGAGATATTACAAGAAATATTTTTAATAGTGCTTAATTACAAAAGTATCACTGAGAATTATGGGCAAATTTTGAACAAGAACTTCATGAATTAAAGTAATAAGAACAAAATATTTCTGCTTCTTGATTCTCCTTGACAGTCAGAGACCATGAATAATATCAACCCCAAACACAAGTAGATACATAAGTAACATCGTATGTTACTTATCGTAAGTACATAAGTAGATACGTAAGTAACAAGTAGAAACATAAGTAACATCTGAGTTTTCTGTCAGTTTTTATTTCAACAAAAATATTGGCTTTGGAAAATACTATTTCCATTGGTGCCAACATTATCAAGGGGAGGAGGGATCAACTGTAATGCCGATTAGCAGAATCTCCAATGAGGTATAGAATACAGTCAAATAAAAACCTCTATTTCCATGACAAAAAGAGTGGGAATTTACATCTAGATGAAAATATACTTGAAAGTGAAGTCTGAAATAATTAATCACTTTAAAAGCCATGATAAAATACTTTTGTATCAAGAATGTCAGGTGCCATTGAAACTGATAACAAAGGCACAAGTGTCTGACTGTAGTATTCACATGAAAATCACTTCAGATTTAAATTATAAGATAAAAGACAAATTAAAATTGAGGGCTGCATCATTATCCTTTTGATAACTCCAACATTAAAAGGCAGAGGAAAAATAACCTTCAGTAACCATACGTTCCTAAAGTTTGCTTACAGTTTGTGATAAAATGGTGATCCACTTGGAATGGAAACAAAAATCACTCTCTTAACCTAACGTTACAAGTACCAGGACACAGCAGCCTGTGGGAAAGAACAATCAGTTAAACAAGCATAATATTTACTTTTTTTTTTTTTTTTTTTTTTTTTTTTTTTTTTTTTTTTTTTTTTCCTTCTCAGGAATGAACAAGTCTGGGAAAAAAAAAATCCTTAAATGGCATTCAAAATTTTTCTTGTGTATCTGGTCACATATTTGCAATAAGTGTGTGTTTCTAAATTCTAAATGAAAGCAAGTGATCCATTTTTCTTTTATTATATATATATATATATAAATATATATATATATATTTTTTTTTTAATATGATATTTTACTTCGCCTAAGACCAAACTGGTTGATTCCACACTCATCAAATCAAGAGTCAGAATTATTTTAGCTCTGGAAATTGTAACTTGGATGCTGTACTTAATTACTCTCCTCTAAGTCATGTACAGACCACAGCTGAATTGATATTTCCGTATGAATTATTTTAAAGTATTTAAACTAATTACTACATGATAGCTGGGTGTGAAACAAATGTGTAGGCAAAAGACTGAAAAGCACATTGCAAAAAAATCCTTTTTCCTGTATCTTTCACTGTCTTTCCCTCCTTTTTACTCTTTTCCAAAATTTCTGATTAAATTCAAGTTCCTGCCCTGCTTCTGTGAACAGAACTGATCAGTGAGGAAGGGTAAAGTGAGATAACCTGGAAATGATAGTCTATGCTTTTTATTAAATCAGATGCAACTAAGCCAATGTTGTCATAATGCAGCTTCAATGATTGTGAATAATATGGCTGCATTAAAAGAATATTAAAAGAACAGTCTAAATGGATTTTGGAATGGAATTGCATCTTTCTTCATAAAACCCTTATTTTCTCTTCGTATTTGTGTACACCAGTGCCTAGTGTTTAATCTGCCTTCAGAGAACTGTGTCATGCTTGATCCATTGTTTTACCTCACACCAGCCAAATGAAGTCTAAACCCAGCTACTTCTTTTTGAACTTAAGCAATGCCAATTCTTACTTTGTGATTGTGCCTGGGTATTGACCTGATTTTCCAAACACAAATGTATCAGGTAACCTTTTTCTGTATTACTTAAAGAAGAAAAAATTATATTACCTAAATGTGAATTCTCAATCATGGATATGAATCCGGATTCCAGGTCTCCACTTATTTAGCTTTGTGCCTTTTTTTTTCTTTTCTTTTCTTTTCTTTTCTTTTCTTTTCTTTTCTTTTCTTTTCTTTTCTTTTCTTTTCCGTTTTTTTTTTTTTTTTTTTTTTTTTTTTTTTTTTTTTTTTTTTTTTTAGTTTAAGTCTTGGATGAATAGACAATAATAAGAAAAATTATTTTTTTTTTTGCAGCATATACTAGAACTGCAGTGGAGCATCTGCTGTACAGTAAAACTAAATAATAGTATAGCAATTGTGCTCTCTGACTAATTGAACAAGAATAAATATGTGCTTTACTACACAGTCCTGTTCGGTGTGTGAAAACGAAACTCAAGTGCATGAAATGGATCTGGTCAAAATCTTTGAAGTTAGAAAAAGAAGAAAGACAGTAACATTGAGAATACAATGAAGTACATTTTTGCCAAGTTTTTACTGCAGAAAGGAAGTGGTAAAGAATGAATTTCATCTTGCGGGGTCAAAAGTCAGACTATTATTTTTCTCCAGCCATATATTAGTTCAAAGTCTTTTGAAAAGTTTCTATGCCTGAATTTTAAGCTTCATATTTTCCCCACCTCACCAAGGAGGAAAAGCAAGTCATTCTGTTAAAAAATAATGTGTCAAAGGGAAATAAGAGTCAAATTCAAGTGTTACAGCTTTGCTTGAGGTCAAGAGTTTGTACCATAGTGACGTAACGAATTAATAATTAAATGTTATGTGTCTGCTTCTCTCTCATTTTTTCAAGTCCATCTAATGCTCAAATATGAGATACTAAAGAAACTATCAACCTGCACTATCATCTTCCGTATAGTTTTTAGGTGTTGCTGAAAAGCTGTATATTCATCAATCAATTTTTAGGTTGGAAAAAAAAAATAGTAATTAGATATTAATTTAGACAGAGAACATTCCTGTGTACAGTCTAATGAATTTTCACTGCACTGAAATAGAATGCAGTGTACTACAGTATAATAAAATATAATATAAATATCTAAGTCATGCTGCAAAAACTCATAACCAGTTACAATTGAGTGTAACTAAATGCAAGCAGGACAATGTTTTCTTGCCTTAAAAGTCTATGCAATTATAAAATAGATGCTTTTTATATAGCCAAGAAAGATCAGATGTGCTTTTATGGACTACTCAGTTCTTTTACTGCCTTTCAGCCACTAGTACTCTAATAAAAGTTTTATTCTAAAGGTTTTTAAGTCCAATGTCTATACTCTAGTAATCATGTTTTTTTATTATACCGCAGTCTTATTTACAGAAAAGAGATTGTTCTTCCTAGGTCTTCCTTTGTGAATCTTAATAGATTGTGTGGGGAATAACAGCTCGGTGGCACAGTTTGTGCCTTGGACCCCACTGGATGTCTTTTGGTAGCATCCTAGAACTGTTTTGAAGTAAATAATTGCTGAAGTCAGGCATAACTGAATGAGGCACATACTATCTGCTCTCCTATGCTCAGAGACTGCATTCTGAAATGATTCTGACTTGGGAAAGTGGCATCCTCTCAATTAAGAGTGTTCAAATTTTTTCACATGCAGGTATATTGTCTCTGAATGCCCGATAGAAAGAAGTTGATTAAGTTAACCTAATGGCTTTTAATTCACTGCTATATACAGTACTCGGGGACTCACTTATGCTTCAGTGGTCAGAACAAGTGTTCTCAGACTTCGAAGGTGGTTTTTCATGGCTCATGTTACTGATTACTTTCAGAGAATGGTTTCTGTCCATATAAAATTACGCTTTAGTATAAGTTATTTTATTCAGAGATTAGAGCTATTAGATTACATTTCAACTGAAATAATACATTATTTATGGCCTATGCATACATATAATGCTTAATGTGATTTTTATTTCTGTAGTTGTCCATATGTTCCTTAGGTACAGTCTGTGTTACAGCAGCATTCAGAACTGCAGATTAATAGATATGAAACTATTTTAAACACCTACGGTGTCCATGTATCTCATCTTCATGTCAGCTATAATTCTTGACACTTTTACCCAATGTATTCTTGAAGATTTCAAGTAATTTCACATCTTCTCAAACAGCTATTTAAAACTGAGAGAATAGTGCTTTACTTTGTTTTATGAAGGCATGCTTTTCCTATCTATCCAATCTCTCTGTTTGCAGTTGGAGAATGCTGCTTCTATTCAATATGAATGTTAAGAGATTTTCCTTACTTCACAACAGCTTTCTTGTAATTGAGGACTACTCTGATGTGGTTTTCTCTCCCCTATCACTCACATATAGACATTGATAATATGTCTCCATATTTCTTCTTGAAGATCATGTTATATACAGTATTGTTAAATTTAACAGAGCATAGCAATAATGTCAGAATAAATATTTTGCATGGATGAAATTTAAAGCAGGAAAATGAACACTAAGTAGTTGAGAAGTTTTAAAATATTGGACTGCGCTGTACTAGCTGTACGTGACATGTCAAGAGCAGTGTCATCAAATCAAAAGGATGTGTTATTATTTGAAATTTGGAGGGCTCTTGATATATTCCTATTTGGATAATCAAGGAAATAAAATTTAAATTTTGCTAAGTTTTGAAATCAAATATTATTAACGGAGAAAAAGAATTTCCATTTTAATGTAAAAATGTTAGTGTAAATACTGGATAAATGGCCAGAGGAGAAAATCATAGGATCTTTTACGTTGTTAGTTGTGACTGAATTGCACTTTACTCTTCCCCACCTAAAATGTTGTTGGATTTGACAATAAAAAGAACAAATTAGTTAATGATTATTCTTCCTTAAATTTCCCGTCATTTTCAGCAAAGAAATACAGCAGAAAGAAGAGCTCCTTGATAGTAGTTACATTTTTCAACAGGAAATTTTCTTAAGTTTGACTTCAACATCTGTTTACACTTCTCTTCAGATATTTTTTATGTAACAAAATGTTTATTTGTGGACAATTAAAATTCAGTAACATCAATGGGAGGAGTGATATAAGCTTCTCATACTTTAGTATTCTCAATGTCTCAATCTCTTCCATCTTCTCCAATTAAAATCCAAACTGTGTTTTAAGGAGTTAGTTTGTCTTACATCATTTGTCTTGTGATGTCTTTTTTGTTTGTTTTGTTTGTTTTGTTTTTAAGAAAATAACTGGAGCTCTTATTCTTCTTCACATTTCCAGACATATTTTATGTTTCAATAACTTACTTCTTCAGTCATCCAAATAGAGTTCCTATTGCAACAGAAATAGTTTTTGTTAAACTGAGGTAGGAGAGCATTTGACCATTCCGTGGAACCTGTTTGCATCTCACATTTCACATCGTCCCCAGATATTCAATGTTATGCCAAGGAAGAACGTTTATCCATGTTCTCCTTAGATTTTACGCTCTGGCTTCTCTCAGTTACATTATCCAATTTAGAATGTTAGCTGCAGCCTTTAAAATTTGATGTTCATTATTTGCATTGCATTGTTTTCTTTGGAAACAATCAGGAGAATATGACTTTTGACAGAGACTTCTGCAGGACTGTAAGAGAAATGTTGATGTTTAATACTGATGTTTGCATATCCTAAGTTACGATAAATTCCCTGTATTTTGTGTAACAAAATGTAATGACTTGCCCTGCTGGTTCCTTCTACAAATCTATAACTAATACATTCTAGAGCCTACCTGCACTATTTACACAAGAAATAGAATTTAAGGTCTTTGGGACACGATCCAAGTCAGTGAACATAAAATGTGAAATAATTATGTGTTGAAAGGTATTTTTCTCATAATTAAGGTAAGTCCGTAACTACACTTCAGTCTTATTACAAAACTATGCACAAGAGGGGAAAGAAGGACATGTTTAAATAATTTTGTATGACATGGATAAAAGAAAAAAAGAAAACTGAGAATTGTGATGCATCACAGGAAACTGAATAAGCATAAGTGCTCAGTGACAAATTGAGTGATCATTTCATAACATTTTTTGGTATATTTTTATGTATACAAATGCATACTTCTAACAGCAAAGACTCCTTTACAGTATACTTGTAAGCTGTGTTAAATAAGTAAATATCTTATACGTTTAGATTTAACTTTTTAGATTTATGTACACAAGAAAAGTTCTCTTTTTTGTTACTGGTGCACAGCAATTTCAAATATTCATTCTAACATATGGTTGTAGAATGGTGTCCAAATACTCTGACAGAACATAATCTGAAAACAAAATAATTAATACATCTCAAAGCATTAACCAAATCAATTTAACCTCTCCAACTGGTTGGTTCCCAATTAATACAAAGTATGATGTCCAATCAAAAATAAGAAGTTGTTTTTAATTACTTTAGTATCAGAATATGGATGGAAAAACCTAAATACTTAAGCTAATTAGTGTACTCTTTCTGTTACATAAGAAAAAAATAAGTTATATGATTAATATGAAGTTTTTCATTCTTTATTTTTTCATTTGTACAGAGATTTATGTTCGTGTTTATAGACAGATTTATTTTTATATATATTTTTTTATCTACCTCAGTCAACCAGATATTGCAACGAGAAAATGATACACGTAATTTTATACAATATCACATACAAAGACCACGATATATGCAGTCATTAAATAAATACAGTGGTAAACAATGTCTAAGTGTTAATTGAACCCTCTAGTACACACTGGTAGAAAGTTGGTAGAAAGCTGAAGAAAGTTACTTAGGGCATCTTATACAAGCTGAGAATTTGGCTTTTGGTGATAAAATTACTGTTGGTTGCGTAGTGTCTTTACTGGAGAAAGTAAATTGATGGTGTTTAAATATCTAGCTACATACATATTTTTACATATATATACATAACAGTGATTCCATCAAGACCAATCTTCCCTTCCAAATTCTTTAATTTGTGTTATATCTTTCAATGCATCATTTTTTACTTTGTTTTCTTTGATAATATTAAATGCATATAAAAGTAACATTTTTTATACTTTCACTGACTTTTAAAATTTCATAAATTATTCCAAACACAAAACTTGTAAGCACTGTCATGGACTAAAGTGTTTATTAACCCACCTCAGTACCTGAATGACAGACCCAAAAGGTGGAGCTGGTAACTGACAGAATTAACAGATATGAAGTTACTAATGCCAATGATTTTTAAAAAATATTCTTTTTTCAGAAGCAAAATAATAGCTATGCTGAATTATATAT